AGAAAGGCCATTTTCACGGCTCACCCCTAAAATTCCGAACACGGCAAGTGAAACGAGACATGTAACATACTCAAACAACCAATGCACTTCTTTCAATTCCTGCAAATCTATCATTAAGATATAACTATGAGAATGCACCAAGGGAAAAGAATTCTTTTAACTTTAGAAGAATTATATGTGGGGTAAAAATTTAACCGTAACAAGTAAAATCGTTAGTTCATTCATCAATATCATCCCACAAACACATAACATTAGGAACAACAAAAGAAAAAAGAAAAAAAAAAAGGAAAACAGAAACCATTACAAAAAAAACTCGACTCACATCCTTATTCCCTTGAGATGGAGCAACCTCGTCAATAGAAACAACCTCGTTATTCGCAAAGCTGTCGAACGAGAAACGGTTACTGTGGAGGGCTCTGTCTCCAATGTCCCCTGCTTCCGAAACGGACTCATTCTCATCAAAGGTCTCGTTTTTTTGTAAAGAATGCCTTCTAGAAGAAGAACTTTCACGGCTCAATCGGCCAATAGAACTACTTTTTCTTGGTTCTAGTGCTTGATTCTCACGGTCCATCTGGTTTTTAGCTTTTTTATGGGATTTTGTTTTCTGATAGTAGAGTAATGTGAATTGTGAAGTTACTTGCATTGAATTATTACAAAGAACCACAACTAGCTACTCCATTGTTCAAAACTAATCGACGCTCGATTGAAGGAATAACATAATCAAGCAGAACATGACAGAAACACAAGCATATTAAATTTTTGCAATTTTATATGATCTGACATACAGCAAAAACGATTGATTACTAAGATTGCAATAATGCGATAATGCAAAATGGCCACAATGATTTAGTAGTCATATCACATATGCATAGAAACTCTGGCCAGGTGAAACTATTATCTACACTAACCCAAACATAAGAGACAAATATACATTCAATCAGAAAACATTTGTTTTAAAAAAAAGAAACGATATCTTAAACTATGTCTTGTCCTATTAGAGTTGTAAAGCTCGAGCTTTTGATACTAAGCCGTTTAGAGCTCGAACCCGGTTTGTTAACGAGTCTTAACGAGTCAAATTATGCTAAAAAGTTCATAAAATTACGTAAAACCTCCTATTTTTCAAGGCTAACAAGCCTTAAACACTTGGCTAATCAACGGTACTTAAACGAGCTCGAGCCTAGTAGCTCACGAACGGCCTCGTTTCGTTTAACAGTTATATATATATCCTATAAAGAAAACTACACCATCCTAGTTTAGCACAAAATGAAATTGCCAAAATAATTAAAAAAACATTAGAAAGTTGAATATAAACAAGGAGGGCCAAATAGTTGTACCTTCCTTTAGATACTTTTCAGAAAGAAATCAAGAACATGAAAGTCCTCAATAATCAGTCCACTCTGCAAACACCACAAAACAAAATCAAGAAAATCAAACGATAACACGAATAGGGGATTAATGGCCAATCAACTTAAAAGCGACCAAAAACCCAAATGGACAAGCCTTCGAAGGCAGAGGTTTTTTGTTTTCGGCTTGGGATTTTACGCATTTTGAAGATGGTGTTAATTTAATATATTCATGGGCAATTTTGCGCTGAGAAATGAGATGGGACACGAGATTCTGCAAAAAGGGTGGGCTGTTATTTATTTGACGTGTGATGGGTGGCACCGATTTATTGCCCGAGTTTCTTTCATTTTTTTTTTTATTTTTTTTATTTTTATTTTTTGGCCTGAGTTTTATGATACGAGTATTGATGAATGACAGAGAGAGTTGACTAATGGACAACGACAAATGTTTGGACGTGAGGAAGAGGAACGATTACGATACATTGATACCGAATGCAAAAATTGAGCAAACATAAATTAGGAATTATTTATTATTATTATTATTATTATTATTATATTATTATTATTATTATTATTATTATTATTATTATTATTGTCTTGTTTGGTAATATAGCTCATTGAATTAAGTGATAGCAAATAACATATTGAATTAGTTAAATTAATTGATAGGCCAATTGTTGATTGAGTTACATGTTTAATTCACTAATAGGATTATGAGATTATGCATAGTGTTTTGATAAATAATTAGCAGAGCCGGCTTAGGTTCAGGGCGACCAGGGCAACGGCCCATGGCCCAATTAAAAGTAGGGGCACAAAACCAGCTTTCCTTACTGTACTTTTAGTTTTTGTTCCTTTTGGTATGTGAACAGTATGAAGAGAGACTATAGTTCTCATTATTGTGGAGAGAGAAAACCACCAATCTTCATTATTGCCCAAATAATTGACTCTTTCGTAATTATGATGTCCTTCTAATATGCCATCTTTATCATTCTCTCATACACATTATTTTTTTACTTTCTCTCTCACATTAGTACTCCTTATCAAGGTTTTCAAAATCGAGATTCTAAGTAGAATCGTTTTAGGTGCAGAATCGGAATCGTAAAATCGTAAGACTCTACTCAAAACGTATAAAATTAATTATTTTAACAAGTTTTATGGTAATCATCAAGAATGTGTATCAAAATACTAAAAAAGACCACAACTTGTTTTTCAAAATATAAATGTTCAAATTTTAACACTCTGCGCGTTCAAACTTCAAAGTTAACACTTACAAATACATAGACACGGCTATTCAAGCGTCACATATAGTCCAAACTCCAAAGTCAGAACCAAAGTCAAGGTCATCAAGGCGTCCACCAAAAATTCAATCTTCCTAATTCCTAAAACTGTGATTCTGTGAACTTTCCCTATTCCAACAATGATTAAAAATAATTGCAGGGAGATAAGTAAGGATAAATGGTTATCTCTAAACGGGAGAACAACAAAGCGATGAAGTTTAATTGTTGAGAAGTCTGCTCCGACGAAGAAGACGCAGACGTCGAGGCTGAGCCATTTTAACGTCGGAGTTCGAATTGTCGGAGGCTACAGCCGTGTGAACTGTGGACTGTGGAGGATTGGAGGCCAAAGAAGAAGTGAGAGAGAGATGGATTTGAGTTTAACGTCGGAGTACGACGGTCGGCCGGCGAGGGATGGAGGTGAAAAAGTCGCGATTCACGACGGAAGAGCTGAGGGAATTAGGGGAAAATGAATTCAAATTAGGGATTTTAGCATTTTTGGGTATTTTTAATTTTTTTTAATTAATTTATTTTGGATTGGGCTAAGGGAATAGAGTATTTATGCTTCTTTGGGCCAATTTGTGTAAAAAAAATCAAAAGAAATAGCCCAAGTGCCCAAACGCAGCCCAATTTTAAAATCTGGTTCATTTTTTGAGTTTTGCACAGAATCGGTCAAAGTCGTAGAATCGGTCCGATTCTACGACTTTGACCGATTCTACCGATTCTGCAGCGACTCTACATGTCTTTGCGATTTTGAGCGACTTAGAATCGATTTTGTGACTTTGAGTCGTAGAATCGGTGATTCTATGACTCAAAGTCGCGATTTTGATAACCTTGCTCCTTATCTCTCACATTCACACATTATTATATAATTACACTTATTTTTTTGCTTTCTCTTTTTTAGTTAGATAACTTCTTTACCTCTTATTTTTATACTTCAATACATATATTACACTATCTTCCTATAATTACTATTTATTTTATTTATTGATTGCGCATTATTTTTATCTTATGATTACATTTAGGCCTTAGAATTAAGGTTTCATATAGATTTTGATTAATAAATATTAAGCTATATTTAATATTATTTAGATTTCATTTTGAAAGGTAAAAGATATCATTACCTTGATTAAAATAAATTTAATATCTTGTTTTTTTATTTTTTAATGAGTTGTGACATTTGATATATTTAAAAAAAATTATAATTTTTAGAAAATAATTGTTGGATGGTCAATATAATATAATTTTTTTACTTTAAAAAAATTATTTAGGGCATTGCGCTCGTATTTGGCCCAGGGCCCTATAATTTGTTGGGCCGGCTCTGATCATTATATATTTGATTTGATATGTAAAGTAGCTAAAACTACAATTATTTATTTTTAAATAGTTCGTATATTGAGTTTTTCTAAAATTTACGTTTTGAATTCGAACGACCGTTTTTATGTTCTTACTAATCAAATGATAAAAGTAAAACTGTAAAAGTTATGACGAGTTAATTCTTTAATTTACCCACAAACTTCTAATTTCACGATGCTACAGAAATGGTGGTAGTGTATGTACAGTTTTAACGGGTCGGTATCCCCAACAGAGGCCCAGCCTAATAACAAGGTCAGTTTCTAAGGCCTGTAAATGGGTTGGTCTGGACTGGACTGGGCCAGCTTGAAAGCTGAGGTTTATTGGTGGTTGGTTTTTACAACACCCATTGTGTTAATTGAAAAATTATAACTAATAATTTAATTAAATGGAAATTTTATTAAATATTTTAAATAATTTTTAAAAAATATATATATTTTAAGTTTTAGTATAGCACTAAAATTTTTCCATCCTATTTTATAATAATTTTTCTAACTAATATATAGAAGACTTGATTAGATAAATTTAATTAATCATTAATATTTTTATTATCATCCAATTAAGATATATTTATATACTTTAAGTTTATTTAAAAACATCAATATAAATTCCCTAGATACACAATAAGCATATCAAATCGATCGAATATCATTAAAAAATATGATTAATTTAATATATCATATTTAAAAACTTATAACAATTAAAAAAATATTAAGTTTTTAAAATATATTTATAATTTAAGTTTGTTCATAATTTTGAAAGTGCCAATAGAGATGGATAAAAGTCAAATCTACAAGACTACTCAAAATCACCTAAATTTGACATATATAATTAGGAAGCACAAGAAATCAATACACAGAATTACATGGTACCATAAATTGACATATATAATTAGGAAGTACGAAAAATAGACACATAATAGTACTACGAAGCATCAAGAGTTAGACAGGTAAATTTGAAAAACTCTACGATAGATAGAATCGCGATACGCTTTTAACGAAAGCTCCACGAAACCAGATAGAGCCACGAAAACCACGCTTTTCTGATTTTTCTACTGCGAAGGCAAATTAAACTCATGCGTTGACCATATGGTCCAGGTTGTCATGTTTTGACTTTTCGTTTGCTCATAATTTATCTATTTATTTATTATTGTTATTAGTTTTCTAAATGGGACTGATCATAATTCACAATGGTCACATTTGTTATGTGGAGTGTGCAGTAACAATTTTATCTCTTTTACAAACTGATCTAGCCAAATTGAAACAAATCGAGCCAGAGTTGAGTATTGTTGTTGTAGTGCTACGTTTTGATTTTTTTTTTTTTTCATTTATTGTTGCTCACGTACGACGAGCACAACATTTTTAGGCACAACTCGACATGACAAGAAAATGCAACCGTTTGACATTGACTCACATTTCACTCGGAATTTGATGAGATGAACATTTTTTAGGTTCGAAATTTTAATTGAAGAGGTATGGAGATAATTTTATATGTATTAGAGTAGTCATTGAGTACTAGCTAGTTTTCAAACTACATGCTCAAGTTTAACTCAAGTTTAAATTCGAGGTGAACTTAGTTTGAGACGAGCATTGACTCGATCACTTATGAACCGCGCGATTCGTTTGCAACCGTATCTGCATGACCTAATGTTGTAGATACTTTTGATTTTAACACTTTTTATGCATAAAATAACTATACTACACTTGTTAAATTGAAATGTGATTATACTTTTAAAAGCAACAATAAAATAAACTACTAGAATCTAAAAAGAACGGCTTTCTGCACAATCATGAATCAACTATGCATTGTTAATTAAAAATATTGATGATCAGATCATAATTAACCCATTTCACCATTTTTTTTTTCTTGTAAGGACTCACATTAATTTCCAATTTACTTGTTATATGCATTAATTAACTTTAAGTTTCAAAATCGTGTCGATTAAAAAAAAAAATGAACTTTAAGTTGCACAACAAGACAATTAATTAACTTTCACCAACCAATGGACACACATATTTCTTCTCTATAAATAGTTAAATACGAGCCAGGAAAGAACCTAAAATCCCATCCAAAAACACTAAATTCAATTTCAATTTGTAATACATAGTCTAAAAGAAAGAGAATGGCAAGTTCAATTGTAGCTGGGTACGAATCTTGTGGTCTTCATAGGAAGCCATATCCGAATCCGAGCTCTCGAGCGGCTCTGTTTTGGAACCCTTTTTCAAAACTATCTCTTTCAAACTGGCAAAATGATCCAATCTGTTTTTCAATCAAGAAAATGCAAACCCGTTACAGAACTAAGAGGTATCTATCTATCTATCTATCAATTTATATAGTTTTTATTTTATTTTATTGTATTTTTGTGTACAAGTTATATTTTTGCTGAGTTGAATCGCTCCTTTATTTTTATTTTTTTTCAGGAATTCTTTTGCTGTATATGCAAACAGTGTGCCAGGAGCTCCATTGCCTTCTGGTCCACCTCCTAATTCTCATTCCTTGTAAGTAAATTCATTATATTTATTTTTTTATTCAATCTATTTTTTTTTTTTTCTAATTTTGACAATGAGCACATTATTAAGAAGTGTATACACAGTCTCGTGTCAAAGATTTCATAATCTTTTAACGTCATATCATTGGTTATATATATTTGGTAAGATAATTTTCTGTCACGTGAAATTTGAAAAATCGAGTCAATTATTAGAGGTGTTAAAGATTTCGACATCTTTCAGACGACGTATTAACAAATGTCGACCGTGAAAAATATTAAGCTAATTAATTTCAATGCAATGATCAGGAGTTGGATTATTGGGCTGGTGATATCCCTAATTCTACCTTTTTTCACCAACAAATGGGGGCCATTGTGGGTGATTAAAAGTAAGTTAATCTTGAATTTACAACTTAATTATGCAATATTAATACACATTGACTAATTAGTCACATTATTAATATTATATTTTTAATTTTTTTTAGATAGAATCGAAAATGCAGTCCAAAGGGTAGAGGATGTAGTCGAGGCCGTGGAGAAAGTAGCGGAAAAAGTCGATGAGATTGCAGAAGACATAGCCGACGATCTTCCTCAAGGAAAATTGAAAGATTTAGTGGAAATGATTGAAAATGTGGCTGAAAAAACAGCTAAAACTGCTGATTCTTTGGATAATGTCATTGATAAGGTACACTAATTATAATTATAATTATAATTATAATCATTATTAGTATATTTTTTGTTTGTTTAGATTAGTCAAAGATTTTGTTATCTGATCTTGAACTATTAAAATGGCCTTGGCTCGTTAGTTGCTTGTGACTTTGTACAAAGCGCGTTTAATAATCGTTTAGACAAGTCAGCATGACTATTTAGTAATAATAAAAACCATCAAGTTGATCATGTGCTTCAGCAATATAAGATAAGTTAAAAATAAAATAAAAAATAAAATAAAATCAACAATGTACAGCAAATTGGCTTTATTTTATCAAATTTTTACTTTGTATTATATATTTTTTTATGGGTTTGGCTGTAAAATGATAATTTTATTGAAGTGTCATTAAATTTGTGCAGGCTCAGGAAGCTGAAGAGCGCTTAGAGGAAATTGTAGCTGAATCTCTAGCCAAAATGCCCGAAAATTCTCCAAAAGAAAAACAAAATTAGTCATGACAAATTTGTAACTAACGAGACATTTTTTTATCATTTGTTAGAAAATAATATCTTTTTTGTCATTTGTTTGGAGATTTATTCACACAAATTTTAAGGTGAAAGACTAATAGTTAGACAGATCGATTTATCGTATTTTTTAATTATGTTGCTTTGAAAATTGAAAATGTATAAATACCTGACCATTATAAATAATATAGATAGGTAGATGCGTTTGAGTAGTATGCCACTGTTAACCATACATAATCAATTTTTAACTTCGTTTCCTATAGGAATATATGCATTCAATTAAGTTATAAATTAATTCATTAACTAGTGACGATTGTTGTTTTGACGTTTTAATTTGTGTATCGAACTGTTGCATATTTGTCGCTTCTTGGCAGGAGTAATGTTAAAATAAAATAGAATAACGTATATTTATACACATTTTCGGTATTGCAATTCTTTGTCTTTGTCTAAGTTCGACTCAATTTGATTCGTTAAGACTCGATGTGTCTTTTACTAACTCTTAAGCGTGTTTCATTAGCCTCATAATTTTTTATAAAAAAGCTGAACTTGAGTTTATATATGGACTAATTTTATTAATGAGTCGACTCATGTCACACCGAGGTATTGCAGAAAAAAACAAAAAATAATAATAAAAAGTAAAATCCGAACCTATTTCTTATAATTGATTAGTTAACATGTTGGTTAACGATATTCTGAAATGCGATAAAAGAAGCAAGAATAAATTGAAAATGGCTCTGTTAGTCTGCACGAGTAATTTAATCACAACTTGACCTTTTTCTATTGTTAAAAAATTTTGTCATAATTGAAAGATGCGACATTGTCTTGACAGTAGATTCATAATTAATAATATTCCGTTAGTTGAACAAAAATTTAAAAATCATATTGCAGAATGTCAAGATTGAGAAAAAACACACATACAAATACATAATACGGCAATTCGTGATGAAGTCTGGAACTGAATGTAGAGATAGCTTGTAGTCAACAAAATAAATAAATAAAATCCCAAACTCGCCACCGGCGTACAACTCCCCCAGCTCAAGGTACACCGCCCAACCTAATATTACTACGCATATTAGCCCGTCGTACATATATCACAGAAATATAAACTTATATACTTTTTAAGCAAATGAACCAACACTATTATGAAGTTTATCCTGTTCATAAATCGATACGAGACAGATCACAGATTTGGCCAAAAATCTTCGACCACATCACAACCAATAAATAATCAG